AACATATTATAAAGTTTCAACATAATCCTTGAATTTTGGCTCAATAAAATCTTTACATACTTCAAAAAATTAAATTAGCCCCTATATTTAATATTTTTATTGATTGATGCTTTCAAGTGAAGAATCAAATGTTATGTGAGTCGACAAAAAGTTTAATGGCTTTGTTGAAGGTTTGAAAAATAATAATAAAGCCGCCAAAAGAACTTCTCCCATCATCAATAATTATTTATTTTGAACTTCAAATTAAATATTATGTTCAAAAACTGAAATTTCCTTTTTAATTTCTACCCTTTTTTTTCGAACCTTCGTTGTTTCTACTAAAGATCATGAATTATTTGCCTGAATTGCTTGTCATGGTTATTAGATGAATTTTGCAAAAGAAAATAAGAAAGCTGAAACAAACTTTTACGCCCTCTACCTTTTCGTTCAGTACACTTTCATGTTTTTAATGTGTTTGATCTATTGGGAAGGTTGAATGCTGTTGAGGTTTTGTTTTTAAGATGAAATATTCTTAAAATGAGGATGAATGGGAAATTGAGGGAAAATAAAATTTTGAGTAAAATTTTAAGTTTCTCCCTCTTGACAATGAGACATTGTCCCATATTGGAAGAGGAAGACATTTTTGGTGGGTATATATATAATTGCTCTTCTTGTAGCTCTTAAAGAGTTAAGAAGAAAGCAAGCCTCGCGCCGTCGTCGTCGTCGCTCGCTCGGCTTCGGCTTTCCGCATTTGTAACGGATATTTTTCAATCCGTGTATTGACCATTTGGCAGCCGCCTAATGCTTATATATGTGCAGCAGATATTGAAGAAAGACACTCAACACACAATTCGCTCAACAAATTGGCTATACATTGCACTCCTTCCTCTCAGCATTTCCATACGATTTTCTGAGTTTATACTCCTTCGTTCTGCATTGTTTTTAACTTCAAACAAAGAAACTGTAAGTGTGATTTGCTACCGAACTTTGTGTTCGCTGAAACACTGGGGTTTGAAGTACCGCTACACCAGTGTGTTATTCGTTCTATCCTGGGAGGAAATAATCCATTACCTTGGGTACTAGGAGGGGATTAAATTCCTTAAGGAAACACTGTGAATTCAGTGGGCTCGAATTTATTATTATTGTTTCATTACGTTAACTTATATTTTGCAGAATTAATATTTACAAATACAGGAATATTGACGGGAATAACAATCTTAAGGAATTTAATATTTATTTCTGTACTTGTGTTATTCTTATTATTCTGCAAACTAAAACCTTTGTGGTTTGTGTACTCCCGTTTTGGAGAGTTAAGCCTTCGTGGCGTTTTGTTGGATATTAAAATCTACGTGATTTTTACTCCAGTTTGAAAACGTGTTTTAAACGCTTGTTTGTGTCATTCTTTTACAAAAAAAAATGATGACTGAAAGCAAAAACCAAGCTGTTCCGATGGTAACTGCCAACGCATCGACAAGCCGAACACCGGCGTTGGCACCGGCAAAAAAACCCGAAAAATTTTTCGGGATTGATTTCAAGCGCTGGCAGCAGAAGATATTCTTCTATCTAACTACGTTATGTCTACAGAAGTTCATCAAGGAAGATGTTCATAATCTGCCAGATAAAACTCCAGAGAATGAACGTTTTCTCGTGATTGAAGCGTGGAAGCATTCTAATTTTTTATGCAAGAATTATATTCTTAGCGGACTGGATGATAATCTGTATAATGTATACAGTAGCATGGAGACGTCAAAAGAATTGTGGAATGCGCTTGAAAAGAAATATAAAACTGAAGATGCCGGGATGAAAAAATTTGTTGCCGCAAAATTTTTGGACTACAAAATGGTAGATAGAAAGTCTGTTATTACCCAAGTCCAGGAATTGCAAGTGATTATTCATGATCTACTTGCTGAAGGTCTTGTCATTAACGAAGCATTCCAAGTAGCAGCAATGATTGAGAAGTTGCCTCCGTTGTGGAAGGACGTCAAAAATTNTATTTGAAACACAAACGAAAGGAAATGTCTCTTGAAGATCTCATTGTTCGTTTGAGAATCGAATAGGACAATAAAGCTGCTGAAAGGAGAGGCCGTGGAAATTCAACAATAATGGNAAATTTATTATTGTTTCATTACGATAACTTTTATTTTGCAGAATTATTATTTACAAATACAGCAATATTGACGGGAATAACAAATGCTTGATAGGATATTCGGGGATACTGGAAAATAAATAGTTTGGAGCTGAATACTGATTCGGAAGGAAAAAGGGAATGATGCTCCAAAAGCGAAACATGTGTTTGGCTAAGCTTATAAGATCGTCAAACTAGTTTATAAGCACTTTTTCAACTTATCTATAGGTTTGGTAAAGTTAAAAATGCTTATAAGTCACGTGCTTATAAGTCAAAATTAAGCCAAAAGCCATAAGTTGGTCACTCCCAACTTATAAATTTTTAGTTTATAAGTATTTTAAGTTTGACCAAGATTTTTATTATTTTATCTCTAAAATATTCCTTTTCAAAACAAAACTCCTACATCGATACTTAGCCTCACGTATTTTTTCAACCTAACCCCCATCCCCGCCTCTTCAAGTCTTCAATTCTCATCGACTATTTGAGGTAAGTAAATTCTCTATTCCTTTGCATATTTATATTTATGTGATTGTGTATTAATCTTTGAACTGTATGTAATAAACGAGGACATATCAAATTTTTAGTGTATTGCTTTCTAAGTGTTGTGGTGATGAAGACAGTGTTTCTCTTCAAATATTTTATCCTATTTAGGTTTATTTTTTTATTGAGAAACTTTTATCAATTTATTAATTATTATAACTTATGATTATATGCTTATCATAAAATAAATTATATTTATCACAAAGATTATCTTATCTAATCACAGTTGTATTTAAAATAAAATGACAAATAGAATATTTTGTATTTGAATCGATCTGGAATCTAAAATTTTGAAGAAATTACGCCCTTATAAATGTAAACAATTCTAAGGTTATTCAAGTCATTTTAATAGAAAAAAGAGCTTATCAACATTTTTTTATCAAATACTACAACTAATTATTATCAATTTCAGCACTTGTATCCAAACACGTAACCTTATTTATTAAATCAGTTTCAATACTTAAAAAGTGCTTTTCAGCAACTAATGTTTATCAACTACTTCAAATCAGCTAATCCAAACAGGCTCATAACCTAATTAGAAAAATTCACACCTTTTAAGTAGAAAGAATTTAGCTATGGATACTGAAATAAAAAAAGGAATTTTCACCTATCTATGTTATATTATAAATCTAATTACCATTAAAGAGGTTCTCATTTAATTACACATTCTATACATAATTACCAATTCTATACAAAAGAAGAAATTAGGCTTTAATATTTCTCATCTTCTCTCTTACAATCCAGCAGATTTGATTTTGAACCTTTATCTTGCACAAGTGTTATTCCTCATAAATCATTAGTGTTGATTGAAGTTTGTAATAGTCCGCGAAAAACTTAATCGACGGGAATTGCCATTATTAGCAGTTTAGCACTAGCATCACGACTTTACTTGCTCAAACTTAGAGGTCGTGGAATCAAACAATTCTATGCAGGCAACATTCAACCAATTGTTGTCCAATTAAATTCAGAAAAATCTTTATCTAATTAAGTAATAACTATTTCCTTATTTTTATAAATAGTTGTAAGAAAAATTTATAATGATGTAAACTCCTTTTAAAGCTCCATTGACAGTCATAAAAAAGTTTCGAAACTTTGAATTCAAAAATCCAGTTTTGCAAATTTATTATTTATTTGAATTAGATGTTACAAATAATTGAAAATATTCATTGGAGTTTGTCTCAATCTCGAGGGAGCTCGGTGGAAATTCCAATTTATTTTAATTGGAATTTCAGATTGAAACTCGAAAAGGGTGACAAATTAATTGTATGTATTTTGCATGTCAGACGTACAAGCGACATAAAAATACATACAACTAACATAATTGTATGCAAATTGTAAGCATGTTATATGTGTTTGACCAGATTCTATACAACAAAAAGTTATATACAAATAGCATATAAATTGCAAATTTAAACTGGATTATGTACAAGTACAAATTGTATACAAAATATATATAAATTGTACGTAATTTATAAATTTTGTAAGAAAATATAGTTACTCTTTGTAAATAAGAAAACCTAGCTATATCATGTAAAATTTGTCCTAATTTGTGTCTATAGAGAAAAAAATCTAACCCCTGAAGTCTAGTCTCCAACGCTTCCAAATGTCTTCAACATATCAAAACATTCATCATCTACACCACTATTCGTAAGAGTTGAATGGTTTTTAATATTTAAAGAAAAATAGGTCCAAAATCATAGAAGTTTATGTCGTTCTAAGAACAGAAAAATTGAAGAAACCTGCATCTCCCGGTTGATAGACTAATGACAACTTTGAGCTACTCCAATTCCTTCTAATGAAATGGAAAAACTATATCCAATCAATTGGTCTTAAGATCAACCATTCTTTGAAGGCAAGCTTAGAAACCCATAGCGTAAACAAGGCATGAGAGACCATATTCAAAAAACTTCTTTAAGCTAAAGTGACACATTGGACATATTCAAATGGTTGGCTATTGCATGCACATTTTCTCCAGCATGAGAACGAGACGGAGGAAAAACAGTTTTCCATTGTACCAATCTACCACATAACTTACTATTACCTTCGGCGGAACCAATAGAAAGAGTAACCTGATGAGTGATGATTGATCACTGGTGAGAACTAGTATTTTCTTTTATTTTTTTGGCGATGAAGACCAAGACCAAGAATGGCATCAGAATCTGAATTCAACTAGCAGCGATGCACCAGATCCCAGGATACAACAGTCGAACTCCACTCTTGTATCCGCGTGCAGCAATGAACTAGGGTTGACTTCTTTTCTAACACATTGGAAGTAGTCTAAATGCCATCAGTGATCAGCTACAAGTAATTGTGAAATTATATTCCAGTAATAGGATGCACTAAGCTGTCATAGGAAAGTTCAGGAATCAATGCACTCAGATGGGAATATTTAACAGAAACTGAAACATCGACATAATACTATACTGAAAGCTAGATACCCCCCCCCCCACACACACACACCCCAAAAGAAAATAAATAAATAAAGAAGTGGGAATCAGAAATGAGAGAAAGAGGGGGAGGGGCAAGCTGAGGGAGAAAGGAATAAAGCAGATCCAAAGTCGAGCTTTTCTTAAGATTAATGAATTCATGTAAATCCAAATAATACAAGTAACACATCTTGTGCTCAAATGGAGTACGCCCATTTTTTTCGCCTAAGCAGTCATTAAGTTTGATGAATTGTTGCAACTGTTCAAATAGGTCTATTTGTACGACCAGAATCAAGTATAAGCAGAAAGAGCAACAAAGAACCAGAACACTTGATTTTAGATTGGAGAGCTATGTGTTAAATTTACAGGAAAGAGTATTTCCTGTCGAGAGAAGGGAAACACGACATACATAGTTTCTAACTGAAATCCATAAATATGAAAAGGAAGTACTTCACTTGACCAAAAAGGTAAAAGAGAAAAGTGATAACGTGGAAATACTTGGACAAGATTCTGCTTGTGGAAGTGCCACAGCAGTCGATAAAGAATTGTGGATCACAGATCAAGTGACCAAGGTTATCCCAATACACCTAGAAAATACTTTCTGCGCTGCACTTAATTTCAGGTCGACAGATCTAGGTTATACCAATTCAGATTTGGGGCGGGTGTCCGATGCGGGTACGGATCTAGAGGTCGGATCCTTCATGATCTAAATTTTAAGATTCGGGGGTATGAATCCAGGTACGGATATGGGTGCGTGGATTCGGCTAAAAATAATCCAAATATCTAAAAGTAGAGTTATAAAAATGTCTAAAGTATGAGACATTATGTGAAAAACTTACAAGGTACTCCAAGAAGGAGATAAAAAAAGGAGATAAAAAGAAAAGAATTGATTTTTTCTCTTCAAATTATAGTTCAGACACCAGTAGTGGGATACAAGAGCTGCACTGCATGTGCATAGCGAATGCAAGATGATTTAAGCTTGCACATTATGCATGCTTGATTTTGACTAGATAAAGTATTAACAGTTCTACAATTGGGAGTTTCGCCAGGTTAATACACGGGTCCTCCCAAATTAACTGTGCTACTTTCTTCATGGACTTCTGAATAATATGTCCACTTTTAAACATGATAAACTTTTCCTCTGATACCAAACTTTTCCATACTTCTTCAATGTCATGATACCAAACCAATCAATATCATCAACACATCCAAACAACAATTCAAACTTCTGCAACATTTTTGGACCTATTTTAAGAAAATAGTAAATTTCAAATCTATTTGGACCTATTCAAATCTGCATACACATTACCCTCTCCAAACCCCACTTGTGGAATTACACTGGGTTTGTTGTTGTTGTAGTAAACTTTAAATAGTATCCATGGCAGGTCAAATTAGGACATGTAATCTGGAAAAGCGGGAATGAGAGGCTGCTTTTAACAGGAATTGAGGAAACAATGACATTTCAATTTATTCCATTATTTGTCCCACACTCTTTCACAAATATAACCAAGTTTGAGGACTTTCAAATGTTTGACAAAGTTCACGACGTTTGCAAAGACACATGCAAGAGTTCATCTTCACTAAACTGTTGAGAACTATAGTATTAGTTGAGTCTTGTTTGACATGTAAAAGCTGTTGGACCCAAAGGTATTTACCAACCCCAATGGTCTCTCTATCTCTTGTTTTTCTCTAGATGCTCTCTAATTTTCTTGGACTTCCAATACACTACCATGTCTGCAGTACTCCTTGAGAGTAAGGTAACTTATACAAATAGTCCGTTTTTTTCCTTTTTACTAATAAAACAAGCCTTGTCTCCAATAAATATTTTATCTAACTCCTTTTTAAACTCGTTTTAATTCATAATTTACCAGTATTGTGTATGTACTTTTATTAATTTTTTTAGAGCCAAATATTACTTAAGCTTTCTTGTGATCAAACTTTCTGTAATACTAAAAAAACACCAAAGCGAAAAACAATTTATTTCATTCATACAATTGAAAAGTACTTCAAGATTGAGATAGAAAACAAGAGAAATCCAATAATTATCTTTAAAAAAAACAAGAGAAATCCAACAGTATATTGCTATTGGCAGTAATGTAAAAGTACAAACTGATTTTTTGGGAAGTGTAGTGCTTGATGTAATTTTATTTTATCTTGTTTCTTTAGTAGCCTTATGAACTACTTTTCTACTTGGTTAATTTGCACATGTTACAGAAAAGCCATCATCCTCTTCATCAGACAAGATCTTTCTGAAAAAGAAAAGAGTTAACTACTAATAAAAGAAGACGACAACAACAACAATAACAACAACAAACCTAGGTGGGGTACTAATAAAAAAAAAGACATTAAATTAAATTAATAAAAGAAGACATTAAATTAAATTAATAAAGGAAATACATGTCATATATATAGTTCTTTTACCCCTAATCCTTAAACTTTTAAATCTAAATTCAGCTTAAAAGTCTACTTTTATTGGTACTTAACTCTTTTCATTAAAATCTTGAGTATTAAAGGTAAAGAGAATGATGGTCTATCTTATAACCTGTGCAAATTATCCAAGTAGAAGGAGTAGTTCATAAGGCTACTAAAGAAACACTATAAAAGAAAGTCACATCAGCCATGACACATCCCAATAAATCAATTTGTACTTGTACAATACTGTCAATAGCATTGTACGGTTGGATAACTCTTGTTTTCTATCTCAACCTTCAAGTGAGTTCTTTTCAATTGTAGGAATAAATAAAAAAATTCTGCTTAGGCACCTTTTTGGTATTAAAAGAATGAGTTTTGCTAAACTACTACATGAAGGTAGTCGGTCAGCAATTTACCCATTTCTGTTTATCCTAAAATTTTCACGTCAATACTTAGAAAACACATCTAACAAAGGGACTTTAAGTAATTTTCCTTATTTTCTTTTCCTTCACAGTTTCGGTTTTCACTTTTACTCCTTCCCATTTCTTCATTAATTTTTGCCAAATTACTCTACTTATTTCCTTTTCTTCTTCAACCTTTGATCAACGAGCTTTCCGAGAAAGAAACTGTGAAATTTTTCTTCTTTTTTCTCTCTTTCTACTCCATTCAAAGGCAGCAACAACATGCTCTAAATGCGGCGAGGAAAGAAAGGGCCTTGAGGGAAGGACTGCGACGACAAAAATTACTACAGCGACAAGGGTCTATCTTCGGTGACTTTTTGGACTTGCCACTCTCTTTTGAAAAAAGGAACGAAACCCAGCTGTTTAATCACTAATTTTTATTAATCAAATGATAAACTTATTCTACTGACTTTTGCTAAGCTTCAAGAAATATATTTTATTCTGCCATTATCGGCTCTTTTTGATGGGAAGAAAGGTTTTTGTTTTTGCCATTGTTCACTATGGTGGAAAATAATCCTCCCATTTACCAAAGATGATAAAGGTTCCCAAACTTAGATACACTGATTATAGCATCCAAGGGAGCGCTCAAACATAAGTGCATTTATGAAAGATGAGCTAAAAGGCTTGGAAATACCTTACAAACACTTTCATGTGATTGTAGCGTCATTGAAGGGAATAAAGGGACCAAAAATGGATGTTAAAGTGCACTAGACATGAAACCACAGGCGGATATCTGTTGCATTTGGCAGAAAACAAAGAAATATGCGCAGAGTTCTCCACAAGGTTATGCACTGCGATACAAAACATTGCGCAAATCTATGATGCAGCATAACATGTAGCGTGGATGGTTCCGTCCAGTCAACCTGGAGCTTTTATGTTAAGGATATTTTGGACTTTTTTGACGTTCTCTCATTCCTATATATACTTGTAATCATTGCAATAGTTAGTTTAGCTTAACGGTTCTAAGCGTAGGGCTTGATTGCATGTTCATTTTCTTGACTTCAACTTGAAACATCGGGTAAGATTTTCTGTATGAGTTCATCTCTTCTCCCTCGTGCTTCTTTCTTCCTCTAGATTGATTGAACTTGTCTTCCTTTGAATCAAATCGTTTTTGGTATATAAATTAGTAGTTCTTTCACGTTCATTTGAATTTGCCGAGGGTCTTCCGGAAACAGTCTCTCTGCCTTTTTAAAGGCAGGGGTAAGGTCTCATACACTCTACCCTCCCCAGACCTCACTTGTGGGACTACACTGGATATGTTGTTGTTGTATTCTTTCTTAGTATTCTTCTACATAATTGTTGGCTTCCGCCTATTCGCAACTCTTTCAACGGAAGAAGCTGATGTTTCATTTAGCATCACCATTTGAAGTTTACAAGTTAATTTGGTGATCTTGGTAACAATACATGTTTTTGTGAAAGGAGAAAGGATGAGAGGCCATAGTTAGTGCTTGAGACTTGGGCTGGACTCTAAAACATTCAATAAACAACATCACACTCTTACTAGTCACTAGGACTTCACAATGCATTTACCTATGAGGGTACTAAATCGCTAATTCCAAAATGAAGTTATTACCTTAATCCATGAATTAAATTGATTGGATGCCTGTGTCACGAATAAAAGAAAATCACCCGTCTTTCCTGCAAAAACCAAATTAACCAAGCCATTAACTATGTTAGACACATTAAGTCAAAAGATCTAACCCTAAAAATTATGAAATCAAAGCAAGAGGGAGCACAGTAGTACACAGCAACAAGCTTTGAAAACTTTTTCACAGTAAGAGAAAAGTAAAAGAAGAGATGAAATACTTTCTCTTTCTTCGATCAACAGCAGCACTCCTTGGGTCCGTTTTAGCAAGACCAGATCCAGGAGGAATGGCATACTGCATCGGAGAGGGAGCTGCAGCCGAAACAGGTGAAGGAGCAGGTGGTGGAGCAGCTGGAGGGGCTACACTTAGCGGAGCAGAAGTAGCTGGTGCAGTTGCAGGCTCAGGAAGCGGCCGCGGCAAAATATGCTTCAACCGGTTGTTTCTATAGTTCTTCCAAAAATAAAATTGCTGCCTATGTGCCACTTCCTAATAGTAACAAAAAATGTAAATCAGATCATATCACAGATAGTAATGCACCACAATTTTAGATTGGCAAACAAATATACAACGTGAAATGAGATGAAAAAGTCTTCACTGGCAGCATTAACTTGGGCTATCCAACTAATACCTATAATTCTATATCGAAAAGCTAGGATAAAATTCATTACGGGGAATAAGGTAAACGACTAAGACAATCAACTACCTTGTATTATAAAATGCTTTGGTTGCACTTCTCGTCCACAGAGACTATGTTTACACAAAGTGGGACAAATTTTCTTGATAGTGGCTGACAGTAATAAGTAATAACTAACTAAAGGAGATGGTAAAGGTGGAGAATGAAACCACAATAACAAATGATACAACTTATCACCTTGTTGGCAGGATGCGCCATTGCATTACGAAATGTTGGATTTTGGAGAAGCTCGAGAAAGAATAGGCAGTGCGGATACCTGCATTTAACATCAAGAAAGGGAATAATAAATAACTGGTAGATGATGACAACCACAGTCCACATCAAACAAAAAAGAAACAAGGAACATCTACCAAATAAATCATAAAGTTGCAATAGAAAATGAACTTACATTATAAACTTTATGTACTCGGGCCGTTGCCAGTATTGTAGGTATTTTAAGTACCCAATAAAAGCTTCATCTTCAAAATATCGATTCTGAGCTAAATCTGCATCAGAATCAACACAAAATAAACCACCATAAATACGAAGGGATAAGAAAAACTAAAACTTTTACACCCAAATTTTACTTGTCCTATTGAAACACAATGCATTTTACACACTTAAAAAATAATATGGGAATACATACAGTGAATGTAAGTTGGGTTAGCAAGGCATTGAACAAATTCCAATTCCAGTAAGAAACGCTGGCGCCCATCATCCGGATCTTTATATACGCTTTTCTGCCTGCAAATTTAAACACAAACAAAAAATAATAAATTGATTAATTTGGGAAGATGCAACTGATTTTACCAAAAGGAGACATAGATGCGTACGGTGAGGAAGCAGATTTAGCTGATTCATCAGTTTCTGGATTCGGAGTAGAAGCCATTCGCCAAACCCTAACTAATTTAGCTGAATCACCCTACTCCCCAACCTACTTCTTGATTTTGAACAAATTAAAGTTCTTTAAAATTTAATCTAAAAACTAGGAGAAATAGGAAAGGAGAAAAAGAGAGTACAATCTCGCGAACTTCTAATAAGAGTAGCCTGTATTGCGTGTGCGTTCTTCCACTCCAGCCTATATTTAAGAGAAGTTAAATTTGGTGAGAGTCAAATCAATTTAGTCCAATTAACTAATCTATTAAGGATTTTCTCCGCACCAAATTTAATTTTTTATTAGAGGGTTTTTGTCCCCTCGAATTTGAAGTTAAACATTCTTTTAAGGGGTCATTTGGTGAATAAATAAGAGTATCTCGTAGGATTCGCTATCCCACTTCCTATATTAGCTAATTAATTTTATTATTTTATTGTAAAATTATCCAAATATCTATAAACATGAAATAGATACAATCTCAAATTCTGAGATTATTATCTTTATCTTTAGTAACCAAACGAAGTATAGCCAATACCTAGAATAGGTATGAAGACAATCTGTCTTTTAGTGCTAGATAACTCTTGAAGTACGGGGCTAAAAAGTATATAGCGGGAGTGTTATAAAATAAAAAGTGTAAAGTAAATAAATCGAAGATAAGTATAGGGAGAGATTAATAAATTATTCAACTTCAAACGGATGTACATAATGAACTGAAAACTCCTCTATTTATAGAAGAAAGGAAGCAGTTGCGAGGTTTTTCAGGAAGCATATGTAAGGCTTTTTAGGAAGCAATTGCGAAACTTTTCTTGAACTGCTTGTAAACTGTCTGCATGGGCTGCTTGTGTCATGACCCAAAATCGCACCTGTCGTGATGGCGCCTATCTTAATACTAGGCAAGACAACAACCTCAATAAATCACGATTTCCTTTAAGTTTGAAAACATAATATTTAAATATAATACAAAAATCTCGCAAATACCGATACAAACACTCCCAAAATCCAGTGTTACTGAGTACATGAGCATCTAAATGATAACAATGTCTGACTGATAAAATATTGTCTGAAAATATAGAACAATACAAAAACTAAAAGGAAAGAGAGTCAAGGTCTGCGAACGTCAAGCAGCTACCTCGATAGTCTCGAACGGATAAAGCTTCAAAAAACTAGCAATCGTCATGTCCGGAAGTACCTGGATCTGCATACGAGGTGCAGGGTGTAGTATAAATATAATCAACTCAGCAAGTAACAATACTAAATAAAGAGATAGTGACGAGCTTCACGGCTAAGTCAAATTACAGTAATTTCCAACATAAAAAGATAAGCATGCTTTCATGTTCAACATTTAAAACTCGACAGTAATTTCATATCAAGTTCTACTGAAAAAGAAGATAATATCTTTGAGAAATTTCCAAAAAGAAACAGTGATATATGACAGCTGAAGTTCAACAATAATGAAATCAATGCATCCTCTTAGAACAACAGTCACTCAGTCCACCCATTCACTCCAACCTCAAAATAACTCTTTCCTCACAGTCACTCATTCCTCTCAATCACCCAGCACTCGACATTCGGTACACGACACTCGCACTCAATAGGTACATGCACTCACCGGGGTGTATACAGACTCCGGAGAGGCTCATTCACCCCAAGCGCTATAACAAGCCAATCATGGCATATAACAATGAAACATGTTGCGACGTGCAGCCCGATCCCATAAATATCCTCACAATCAGGCCCTAGGCCTCACTCATTCATCAACCTCTCCAATCTCTCGTGCTCTCAGAAATCATGACAAGCAGCCCAAATAGCAATGATATGATGTATCAATAATGAACAATAGAGACTCAGATGTAATGTGCAAGTAAAATTGTAATTGAGTCCAAACAGCAATTTAGCAGATAATTTACATGTACATGACCTCTGTGGGTCCCTACAGTGTTAACACATGTCTTAAACATGATTTATAATTCGATTTGTCAAATACGTGGAAAATGTACAGATATCAACAGCTTATTCAACCACATAGTAACATGGAATTTATTAAGTCACAATTCCTACAGTGCACGCCCACGCGCCTGTCACCTAGCATGTGCGTCACCTCAAAACAATCACATATCACAAAATTCGGGGTTTCATACCCTCGTGACCAAATTTAGAACTGTTACTTACCTCAAACCGTGTAATTATTTATTCTGCAATGCCTTTGCCTCGTGAATCGGCCTCCAAATGCCTCGAATCTAGCCACAAATAATTCGATTCACTCAATACAAATTATAGGAATTAATTCCATATGAAAATACTAATTTTCCAATAAAAATCCAAAATTGCACCCAAAAAAGCCCATGGGGCCCCCCATCTCGGAACCCGATAAAAGTTACAAAATATGAATGCTCATTCAACCACGAGTCCAACCATACTAATTTTACAAAATTCTGACGTCAACTCGACCCTCAAATCTTTAAATTAAACCAAGAGGGTTTTCTAAATTTTCCAACTTAATTTACCGATTAAATATTAAAAATAACTATAGGTTCGGGTAATTTGACCAATATCGAGTTAAGAACACTTACCTTATTGTTTTCCTTAAAAATCTCCCGAAAATCGTCTCTTCCCTAGCTCCAATTCGTCAAAAAGTCCCATTTTCAGAAGTTAAACTCTTTGCCGAGCGATTCCTTTTTCGTTAATGCGACATATCCCTCCCGTTCGTGAAGCACAATTTTGTGCTGCCCATTTTTTCTTCTTCGCGAACGCGGTGCTTCACCGGGCTGCTCTATCGCAAACGTGTCCTCTCCATCGCGAACGCAAAAACCAATTTCCTCCAGGCAGGCTTTCCCCTTCGCGAACGCGAGGCCTCAATCGCGAACGCGTAGCTTTGCCCCCCGAACCTTCGCGAACGCGTGCCCTCGATCGCGAACGCGAAGCACAAAATGGGCCAGTCCAAATTATCCCTTCGCGAACGCGAGGCCTCAATCGCGAACGCGTAGCTTTGCCCCCCGAACCTTCGCGAACGCGTGCCCTCGATCGCGAACGCGAAGCACAAAATGGGCCAGTCCAAATTATCCCTTCGCGAACGCGTGAGTCCCTTTGCATTCGTGAAGAACAATATGAGTACCAACAAACGAGCAGCAGCAACCCGACCAAACTTGGTTCGAAACCACCCCGAAACACACCCGAGCGCCCCCGTACCTCAACCAAATATACCAACAAGTTCCAATATCAAACTAACTTATTTGAAGCCTCAAATCACATCAAATAGCGCTAAAAATACGAATCACACCCCAATTCAAGCCTAATGAAACTAGGAAATTCCAGCTTCTACATTCGACGCTGAAACCTATCAAATCAAGTCCGATTGACCTCAAATTTTGCACACAAGTCATAAATGACATAATGGAGGTATTCCAATTTTCAGAATTGGATTCCGGCCCCGATATCAAAAAATCAACTCCCCGGTCAAACTACCAAACTTAAATTTCTATTTTAGCTATTTCAGGTCTAATTTAACTACGGACTTCCAATAAATTTTCCGGACATGCTCCTAAGTCCAAAATCACCATACGGAGCTATTGGAATCATCAAAATTCTATTCTGGGTTCGTTTACACATAAGTCGATATGCGGTCACTATTTCAACTTAAGCTTTAAACCTTGGAACTAAGTGTTCCAATTCATTCCAAGACCTCACCGGATCCGAACCAATCACCCCGTCAAGTCACATAACAACTTTAAAGTATAAATTGATCAGTAAATGGGGAAACGAGGTTGTAATATTTAAAACGACCGGTCGGGTCGTTACAGCTTGCAACTTGCCTATTTAATAAGAAACTGCTGCAAATTATTTCATTGAGTTGCTTGCAACCTGCCTGCAGCAACTGCTTGTAGAGAAACTTCAATAGAGTACCAAAAGGATAATCTTTTTTATCAAGATTATCTATAACGGAGTAATAAATGGACATCTACAATATAATTATTTTCATAACACTCCCCATTGTATGTTCATTAAAAGATATTGTACCTCGTTAAAACCTTACTTGGAAAACCCCAGTGGAAAAAAATTCTAGTGAAGGAAAAAGAGTACACATATTTAATAATACGCATTTCTAGCTACCTCATTAAAAACCGTACCAGGAAAATCCAATGGGAAAAAAACTGGGCAAGGAAAAAAAGAGTACAATGTGCATACTTTACTCCCCCTGATAAAGATGTTATTTCAAATACCTAAGTCTCCGCATTCTAATCTTGTATATCATCTTCTTGAAGGTTGCAGTTAGTAAAGACTTGGTGAACAAATCTGTCTGATTTTCAGTTGAACGGGTTTGTTGCACGTCAATGTCACCATTTTTCTGAAGATCATGTGTGTAGAATAATTTTGGTGAAATGTGCTTCATTCTATCTCCTTTTATAAATTCTCCCTTCAATTGGGCTGTGCATGTAGCATTGTCTTCGTATAAAATTACGGGTCTTCTATCACATTTCAAACCATATTTTTGTCGAATGAAATGAATCACTTATCTCAACCATACACATTCCCTACTCGCTCCACATGTAAAAAAGTAGCCGGTTTGGGATCGAGCTTTATAGGGATCAAATATATAACCTGCATCTTCATAACCAACAAGATCTGTACTACCTTTGTTTGCATAAAATAAACTTATATTAAGAGTTCCCTTTAAATATCGTAATATATGCTTAATCCAGTTTCAATGTCTCCGTGTAAGAGAAGAGCTATATTTTGCTAGTAAATAAACAAAAAAATGTTATGTCAGGCCCTGCAGCATTAGCAAGATACATAAGTGCACCAATTGCACTAAGATAGGATATTTTAGGACCAAGGAGTTCCTCATCCTCTTTTGGAGGTCGAAACGGGTCTTTATTCAGTTCAAGTGATCAAACAACCATTGGTGTACTCAATGGATATGCTTTGTCCATGTAAAAGCATTTTAAGACCCTTTCTGTATAGGCAGATTGATGGATAAAGATTCCGCCTACAAAATATTCAATTTGCATACCAAGACAAAGTTTTGTCTTTTCAAGATCTTTCATCTCAAATTCTTTCTTAAGATATTCAATTGTATTTTGGAGCTCTTCTAGAGTTCCAACAAGATTTGTGTCATCAACATAAACAACAAGTATAATAAATTCTGATGAAATTTTTATTATAAAAGTACATGGACAAATAACATCACTTACATAACCTTCTTTCAGCAAATATTCACTAAAGTGATTGTACTACATGTGCCCAGGTTCCTTTAAATCGTA